ATATATATATATATATATATATATATATATATATATATATATATATACACACATATAAAAAGAAGATGTTGGGGGTAGGAGTTTAGTAATTTATTTATTTATTTTTGCTGTGTTGGGTATTCATTTCTGTGCGAGGGTTTTCTCTAGTTGTGGCAAGCGGGGGCCACTCTTCATCGCGGTGCACGGGCCTCTCACTATCGCAGCCTCTCTTGTTGTGGAGCACAGGCTCCAGATGCGCAGGCTCAGTAGTTGTGGCTCACAGGCCCAGTTGCTCCGCGGCATGTGGGATCCTCCCAGACCAGGGCTCGAACCTGTGTCCCCTGCATTGGCAGGCAGATTCTCAACCACTGCGCCACCAGGGAAGCCCCTGACTTATATTTTTATAACTTACATAACAGATATCATGTATGATCATTTCCGTTTTATTATACTGCAGAGTTCATTTCTTTAATGAAACGGGGAGAAATGATGTGATAGCCTCGGGCGGGGAACCCTGTGATTCTCTCAACAGGTGAAGTGTAAAACCTTTCCTTTATGAACAGTGGCCACGGAGGGAGGGAGGAAGCCCCAGGGTTGCTAAGGACAGTCTGGTTCAGGGTGCACAGGAGCCCTGATGCTTCAGTATGGACAGCACGCTCAAAACTCGGCTGAAATGGGACTTGGGAGAGAGAGAAGCCGAAACAAATGTTTTCATATTCATCAGCCCAGTGATGGCCGACAGTCTCTGGACACATCTGTGAATGTCAGGGGCCTCCAGTGAGTGCCTTCCTCCTGCTGGGTACCCTCCTTCTGTTTCCACTTTCCAAGAGTTTAGTCGCGGGACTTCCCTGGTGGTCCAGTGGTTAAAAATCTGCCTTCCAATGCAGGGGACGCAGGTTCGATCCCAGGTCGGGCAACTAAGATCCCACATGCTGCAGGGCAACTAAGCCCATGCGCTGCAAATACTGAGCCCACACCCCACAGCTAGAGAGCCCACGCGCCACAACTAGAGAAGCCTGCATGCCACAACGAAGATCCCGCGAGCTGCAACTAAGACCCGACGCAGCCAAATAAATAAATAAATAATTTTAAAAGGAAAAAAAAAAGAGTTTAGTTGTCTGTTCTGCTGGTATAACTCCAGCACTCAGCAACAAAGGCCAGACATCCCAGATTTGCTCAGCATTGCCCTCTGTGAGCCTTTCAGATCCGTCATCTTACCAACAGTTGAAGCCAATTATAATAACAAATGAACATTTCTAACAAGTCTTACAGAGCAGTCACTGTATATGTATATAGGCTCCCAGGTATTACATCATTTAATATCATACCAACAAGGGGACTAAACTAAGCTTCCAAAAAGGTACGTGAATTGCTAATGTCACACAGCAGGTCAGGATTTGAACCCAGTTGGCTGGCCCTGCAGCCCATCCTCCTTCCCTAGAGCACACTGAGAGCATCTACCCTACAACCAGTTCTTACCAGTGCAGCCGCAGGGCGTGCAGGAAAGCCGAGAGGCCCTCCATGATCAGAAGGATGGCTACCGTCAGAACAGCAAATATGGCAAAAATGATGAAGACCCCAATGAGTCCTCCCCAGCCTTGCACGCGAAGGCCAATGTTCATCACCATGGTCCAGAGCACTTCAGACAGTTCTGCAAGATGCAAGAGAAACGTTCTCAACCACACAGTTTATCTGGCAAATGCAGATTATTCTTACACCATAATCCTGGACCTGCACACCCTACGACTCAGCAACTCCACTCCCAGGTGGAGAAGGCGGTCATGTGTGCCCTAGGGTACCTGCGTGAGACTGTCTACGCAGCTTTGGAGGAGCTTCCAGCAAGAGGACAAGTACAGGAGGGCATATTATTCACCAATGAAAGTGAGCAGACCATAGCTACTGGCAGCAACGTGAATATATCCGAGTAACATCATCTTATGCCAAAGAAGCAAAACACAAAAGAATACATGTACTATGATTTGATATGCACTGAATGTTTGTTTCTCCCCCAGCCCCTCAAATTCATATATTAAAGCCCTAACCCCAAAGTGATTGGTACTTGGGAGATGAGGGTGGGATCCTCATGATGGGATTAGTGCCCTTATAAGAAGAGATACCAGAGAACCCCCCCACCCCTTCCAGGGAGATACTGTAATTACAGGAGTTTGTGCAAGGAAACAAACACAGCCAGAGCAGTCAAGACCACACAGACGCTGAGCACTTGCTTTTCTGCTGTAAGTCAACAATCAGGCTCACTGTCACTGCTTTGCTTTCTATCACTTTAGCACACATTTTGGCCTGGCTTCTCTGTTCTTGGCGTTATGCCCAGGGCTGGGAATGCAGAGATAAAAGTCAGGGTCCTTGCCTTTCAGGAGATGACAGTCTAGTAGGGAGACAGGCTAATGAGACAGAATTACAATCGGGGCTAGGATAGAGGCACCTCCAGAACCCAGGGGAAGGGCACCTTCCAGACTGGGGGCCAGGGAGGAAGACTACCCGGGAAAGGTGCTAGCTAAGCTGAGTTCTGAAGGAAGGATGAGACATCAGGTGGGGAGAGAGTGAAAGAAGGGAAGAATTTTACAGGCAAGGGAGCTGCAGGGCAAACATACAGAGGGGCCCAGCTAGTGCGGCATCTGCGGGAGCCTCAGTGCAGTTCCTTGTGGCCACTGCACATGAAATGGGGAAGTGAGTGGGGGCAATCAGGAGCCGGTGGGGCATGGAGGGAAATACCAAGAGACAAGACTAGAGAAGCAGGCAGAAACCAAGAGGGGTTTTACAAAGTAAGTTGATGAGTCAAGATTCCAGACTTAAGTCATTCTTGGGGCTTGAATCTTTATACCAAGAGATGCAAGGGGCCTGCAGAAACTAGGAAAGGCAAGGAAATAGATTCTCCCCAAGAGCTTCCAGAAAAAACAGACCTGCCAACACCTTGTTTATAGGACTTCTGGCCTCCAGAACGGTAAGATAATCAATTTCACAGTGTTCTGAGCTGCCACATATGTGGTAGTTTGTTACAGCAGCAACTGGAAGCTGATACAGAGGGTAACCATTCCAGCAAGATAAAGCCAGACCTACTGAAAAAGGTCACTTCTATTATGAAAGAAGAGCCATTCTTCTGGTCAGTGCACCAGAGATGACCCAGAAGGCACTTTCACCTAGAAGTACATTGCATCTGTTTCCAAAGGGACAGGCGATAGTGACCCTGCCATGCGGCCCGCTCACTCACGTGCATGCGCCAGGCTGAGGGCCCAGAGCCGGAGGTAGGAGGCTGTGTTGGAAATGCAGCCCAGGCAGTACTCAATCGTGTGGATGGCCTGATGCACAAAGACGTCTCCAAAGCTGAACTGAAAGAGAGAATTTGTAATGCTATTTCATTAAGTACTTTCTACTCAAACGTATTACAAATGATACAACGGACGCATAAGGCCTGGACTCTGCTGTTAAGACACTTCCAGTTGAATGAGGGGGAAATAGGTATTAATATATTTGTAGAAACAGAATGAGCAGCCCACAGTAGGACATGGTGTGTGTGCAGTAACATTTCCCAGAAATGGCTGAAAAGAGCTCAAAGCAGCAGAGTGGTTGGTTGGTAAGGGGAGCTGAGATTTGCGCTGAGCCGTGAAGAACAGGGAGGGAAAAAGAGAAGCCAGTTCATTCCTGGTAAAGAAAATGACTCCGGGTAAGGAAAAGGCAGGTGGTTGGGAGCATCATGAAGGTAAGTTTGGGAGAAAAACCATTTGGCTCGACTGGGAGCTTGCTGAGGTGAGGAAAGACTCAGCTGTGGAAGCCGTGGGAAAGGCAAGGATGGACACAATCGAGAAAACCACCTGGAGTCATGAGGAACCAGTAGAAGTATCTCAATAAAATAAAGAAATACTGGAGGCAAGATTAATCTGGTAGAAAAATGGATCAGGGAAAGGACAGCCCATAAGCAAAAAAAGCCAACTTGTTGATTATGTTAGTAATCCAGGTATGAGGGGAAAAGGAACAGTGCAAAGACAGCAATAGATCATTCTTTTCTTTCATTACTCTGATGTTATGAGGGAAACAATCTGACTGGCACCATCCCTGCCCTGAAGCAGCTCACCGCCCAGCAGGGAGAAGATGCAAACAGACAGTTACCACACGTCAGCATGGGAACTGCAATAACCAAGAATGCAGGGGTGCCGTGGGAACACAGAGAAGGGTCCCTCACCCAGCAGGGCCAGGGTCATACAGGGCTCTGAGGTCCCTGAGCCCAAATGGGTGAAAGAATGGCACTGGCAGAAATGAATACATTGGGGAAGGGGAGTAGCTGATTCCCAGACGTGTTGCGTTGCGGGTGATAGCTGGCCATACAGGCTGAATCTCTCAGTACAGACCAGCAGAGGCAGAACAGGCTCAGAGGAAAAGTCTGGGCTAGAAAGGGACACCTGGGACCACACCAGTGCGAGGAGTGAGAGTGGGAGCTAAGAGAAAATGAACTAGGGGAAGATCATGAGAAGAAGAGCTGCCACACTTAGGAAACATCTCAACTCAGAGATAAGAAAGAAGGAAACTGATGACGAAATGAAAAGGTCAAAGAGCTGGGAGCAGTCACAGGGCTGAGGTCCAGGACGTCAAGGATGGAGGGATATCCAGGAAGAAATGGGGGTTGTGGTCACTGGGGGTTGTAGTCAGATGCTATGGGGAAAAGACCAAAATCAGTGCCTCCCCTCCCATTCATCAGTGAAAACAGCAGAGAGGAACTGAAGGGGCGGGGATGGGCAGAGGTGGAGAGAGTGGGTAGAGAGAGTCACAGTAACAGAGGAACGTCTGGTGAAGAATGAACCTCAGCCAGAGAGAGGTCTGGCTTTGCCCTGGCTCCTGGGAGGCAACCTCTAAACGCCTGGCATTTCCCAAGTGAAAGAAACGTCTGATATTCACGGTCCGTCCCTGGGACCACACCTCACCACTTTTGCTAATGAGGTGTCTATGGTGGGCACTTGGTAGTTTACGGGGGAGCTGGCTTCACGTTGAGAGTTGAGACTTTCAGCCACACGTTATCAACCCAAACGCATCTCCAGGGAGGGGACAGAGCCGGAGATTGAGTGCAACCACCTGGATTGCACTTGGGTCAATCACACCTACATAATGACACCCCCATAAAACATCAAACACAGAAGCTCACGGGAGCTTCCTGAGTTAACAATACGATAATTCTGCCACATGTCAATGCCGGGAGAGTCATGCATCCCTAAGAACACAGAAGCTTTGCATCTGGAACCTTCCCAGTGTCAGATTCTGCTTACTTGTGTCTTCCTCTGGCTGGTTCTGATTTGTAGACTTTTGTTGTAAGTAAAACTGTAATTGAAAGTATAGCATTCTCCTGAGTTCTGTGAGCTGTCTACAAATGACTGAACAAGAGGGAGTCTGAGGGGACCTCCAGACTTGTGGGTGGTGTCAGAAGTGTTGGGCAGACTTGGCAGTCTGGAGAACTGGGCCCTTAACCTGGAGTTTGGCTAACTCCGGGTGCGGACAGAAGTGGGACAGGACCTGGAGGGGGAAGCAGAGTCGAGCCTGTATGTGCCTTGTGCTGGGAGACCCAGGCATTATTGTACTGGGAGAAGAGCCATCAAATGGGGCCTGAAGCTGCTCCCAGTGAAGGCAGCTGGTTCACAAAGGAGGTGGCAGGTGAACATTGACCGGATATATACCGAGGCCACGAGGAGGATGGATGAGGAGGGTTGTACTGGACAGGCTGGGACTTGATGAGTCAGAAGATGTGTGGGTTGGATTCTAAAACGTTCCAGCAGGTCTGACAGACCTAGTAACACCAATCGCCATGACTATGGGTTACTCTCTGTACCTGGAATCTTGTTGGGAAAACTTTCCATGATCCAGATTTTTCATTCATTCTAATTGACTATTCATTGGTGCAGATGAATACTTGTTGGTTTTTTTAAAGTAATTAACACCACAGACGGAGTTATTTATAGCATTTCTCAGGCCTCAGGAACCCTGTCCCCACTCCAGAATTAGAACAGAGCTCGGGTTAAAACCCCCTGCCCAGGGTTCAGGACCGTGGGTGACTTCAGTCATGGTATAAAAACAGCCCGCCGTCTTGTCTGGGAAAACATGGTACATTCCTGAGCGGGGAGTGGCTGCCCTTGGATGGAAAGGGACAGGGAGGGAGGAGAGAAGAACACATGAATTTGTGACTTCCCCTGAGAGGCAGACAATGTTACAAAGATAAGTGAACAAAGAAGAGATTGAGCCAGGGTTGAGGCCAGAGGCGGGGATGGCATCTGAGGGTGCTTACGCTGGGGGTGAGGACTGAGAATAAATAACCCACTTCTTTTTCATTATTATTATTATTATTAATTTTGCGGTACACAGGCCTCTCACTGTTGTGGCCTCTCCCGTTGCGGAGCACAGGCTCCAGACGCGCAGGCTCAGCGGCCATGGCTCACGGGCCCAGCCGCTCCGCGGCATGTGGGATCCTCCCGGACCGGGGCACGAACCCGTGTCCCCTGCATTGGCAGGCGGACTCTCAACCACTGTGCCACCAGGGAAGCCCCATAACCCACTTCTTGCTTCAATATAAGGGACCAGACTTGGCCTCTGCTCTCATGAGTGAGGGTCACTGATGGGAAAGATCATCATAAATTTACAGACTCCCAGGGGCACAGTTCTGAGCCAAGGAGACTCAGTAACATTTAGGACCTTCTTTGTCACTAAACGTGAGGCTGATATTCACCTCACACTCACAGATAGAGCGGCACCTGGGCGAAATTATTTAAAATGCTCCCTGATTGGTTGGTAAGTAGCTGCAAGCTTAAGTGCCCCCCCTTTCCTGGGACCTCCCCAACTTCCCATGACTCAGTGATGACAGGGTTGCCACCAGCAGGGTCCTCCCAACCCTCCCAGCTCTACTGCCTAAGTCCGTTCTGATTGGCTGGTGCCCACACGCTACTGGCTGTCAAATACGTGAGCACCATCCCTGACTAGATCTGGCTTCTAGAATCTGTACAAACTGGAAGTCTTCATAGGGTGTCAAGTCCCAAATACCTCTTCCCTCTGCTTTAGATAAGCAATTAATTTTTTGGCCATGCAGCTCGTGGGATCTCAGTTCCGCAACCAGGGATCAAACCTGGGCCATGGGAGTGACAGCACCAAATCCTAACCACTAGGCCACCAGGGAACTCCCCCAGATACCTCTTCATCGTGGTCATCCTGAGCCCCATGGGCACCTGCAGAAGTCCTGTGACCAGGGCTCACGGAAGGATTGGAGTTGTCACCTTCAATGTCCTCGGTGGCATCTTCTTGGATCCTGGAGGCCTGTAGCTTTCAGCAAATAAGAAAATGCAGTGTGAAATTCACCCTTCGAATGAAAAAACTTCTATATAAAATAAAGGCTCTCATTAAATATTAGCCATGTCCCAGATACTGTTCTAAACCTTCTATTCAATCTTTTTATGTAAGCACAATTATCACCCCATTTTACAGAGAAGTAAACTTAAGTAACAGAAAGGTTAAGAAATGAGCCCAGGACTGCACAGCTGGTAAGGCTAGTTAGTGGCAGAGCCAGGATTCAAATCCAGGCAGTCTAATTCCAGGGCATGTGCTTTTCTCCACTGTGTTCCAGAATGTGCCAAATTAATCACACTCTTTACAGTAAACCAATTGTCGTGTGACCCAAACAGCCAGATTTCTACAAGCAAAATTAGGAGAGATTAATGACTGCTATGGTCTGAATGTTTGTGTCCCCCCACAAAATTCATGTTAAAATCCTAACCCCCAAAGATGAAAGTATTAGAAAGTGGAGCCTTTGGAAGGCACTTAGGTCATGAGGGTGGAGCCCTCGTGAATGGGATTAGTGCCTTATAAAAGAGGCTTCAGAGAGCTCCCGAGCTCCTCCCATCAGGTGAGGACACAGAGAGATGTCAGCAGTGAACCAGGAAAGGGGCCTCACCAGAAGGTGACGATGCTGACACCTTATATTGGACTTCTAGCCTTCAGAACTGTGAGCAATAAATTTCTGTTGTTTTAGCCACCCAGTGTGTGGTATTTTGTTACAGCAGCCCAAACGGACTAGACAATGACTTTTCCAACACAAATATACTTTTTAAAATAAAAACATCACTTTATGAAAACAGCTAAGAAAAAAATTCAAGGAAAAAAAAAAACTAGGTGTAGTCACCATTCAATTTGGCCTGGTTTTCTCCTTGAGTCTGAAGAAAATATTTCTTTCAAGTCACTGTGAAATTTAATGTCCCACATCCAAAGTTTTTCCTAGAATAATTTCACGGGTGGCATATGGCAAATTAGGCATTAAAGTGTCTTTACCATTCTTTCTTCAGCAGGTCTGAACCTGATATTTGCAGATCTTTGGGCAAAGGTACAAATGAAAGCCCACGTGCCATATGTTTAAATATTTAAAAGTTAGAAATCAAGCCAACAAACTCCTAAATAAAATATGTTCTGGCGTCTGTCTTGATAAATAAATTCTCACAAGAACTTGGAAGGCCAGGTTCAAATTCAGCATCCCACACCAGGACATGGCAGCATGGGAGAGCTGGCCCTGCACCCCGGCATGTGACCCTTCCCTTCTCACCTGTGATTTCATCTCACAGCACAAGGGCCGTGGCCTCGTGTGCACATGCGTGGACACTCCCACCCAAATGTCTACGTTCCACCCACACTCCCTCCTTGGGAGTCCTGCTGCCCCTTGGCCACACCAGGGTCACTGGTACCCAGGCCGGTGCTGTGGTTGGCCCTTTTTATGCCCTGGAAGTGGGCTTGTGTCCATCTGGACAGGAATTCCAGGGTGCTGGGTACCAAGAGGGGGCTCTGGGTAAGCCTTTCCCCTTGGCCCATGGTTCCTTGCCCCATGGTGAGGAAATGGGGCTCAAGTTAACATTACTTTGTCTTCTTGAAATCCTATTTTCTCTCCCCATCAACTTAAGGAAGAAAATACCAAAGGAGAAACAGACAGTTTTTCCATTTCCATCTTTAAATGCTAGCCTTTTCTGGTCATATCCTGAAATTGGTTCAAATGAGCATGAACAACTGTGTAGAAGCGTGACCCTGGGACTTTGTGGATCTTACTGACTCTTCTTCCCGTTCAAAATATACTTTGCAATCCCCCTAACTAAACATCTCACAATGTTTGAGCTGGATGCCGTCTGAAATAAAATAGTAATCAATTTTAAATGAGTTACTTGCAACTGTCTAAAAACACGTAAAACACACGTGCACAAAGACAGACACAAGGATGTTCACAGCAGCACTATTTGTAATTACTAACAACACTGGAAAAAAGCCAAATAACTATCAATATACGAATGGATAACCAAATTGTGGTATATTCACGCAAGGGAATACTATAATACATAGCTATCTCTCTCTCTCTCTCTCACACACACACACACACACACACACACACACACACGCGCACACACAATCTCTCAAACATAACACTGGATGAAGGAAGCCAGACCCAGACGAAGGCGTGGTGTATGGTTCCACTTACATAAAGTTCCAGAGCAGGGAAGACTAACCTATGGTGTTAGACGTCGGGATAGTGGTTGACCTTGGGGTGACAGTGACCGGAAGGAAGCACACGGGGACTTCAGGGTCTATGGTGTTCTGCGTCGCTATCTGACTGCTGGTCACACGGATGTGTTCGTGTGATGATACTTCACTGATCTGTGCCCTTATCATTTGTGCCCTTTGATGTATATAGGTTATACTTCAATGAATTTTAGCATAGAAAACACGCATGTAAATGCAAAGATTTTAAACAGAAATGCAAAGTTACTTCACCGTGACCTGGGATACGGAGTGATAGGAGACCTGGGTCCACGGCAGCAAGTCAGAAGAGGAAGCGGAATGTGGGTGGTCCAGGCGGTCCAGGGGGCTGGCGTGAGTAGTTCTGGGGAGGAGGTGTGCGCTCACTGGCTGCCTACAGGGTGCGTGCCAAAAGGGCCACATCACAGGTGGTCCTCTCGTGAAGGGGTTTCCAAACCATGTCCTGCAGGGACCCAGGGCTACAGGGTTACAGAAGAGCCTGAGGAGATGGGACCTCTGCTCATTTCCCCCAAGGCCCATCAGAACAAGTCTGTTTATAATTTCTATGAACTGGGCCTCTTTAAGGCTTCACAGGGGGACTTGAGAGGAGGCCAGATAATTCCATTATGGAATCATCTCTTGGATGGAGGTGGAAGGAAATGTTTCTAACATGAAAAAGGACCATGTAATCAGCAGCCTAAGGAGTCAATCGACAGCTACACAACCCAGGGGCCAAGGAGGCAGGCCTCCAAGCAGCCTTTGGGAGCCCCTGTTCCCCTGAGTCAGCCTAGGAGGTATCGCCCAAGATGGCAGACTACAAAAGCACCTCTACTTCCTTCCCTGTCATACAAGTCATCTGTGGGGAAAAGGGAGAAATCCGTCACTTTGGCCTCAGCCACTATTTAAACAGCTTTTGTGGAGCAAAGAATAAGACAAGCTATGGTTTGAGAGTCCTGGGACTCAGGTGAGCCAGCAGTAACCTAGTCCTCGACTCACAGACAGGTTGAGTTTCTAAGAAAGACAGTTGCATCTGTTTCTGCAGAAAGGTATTTGCCACCTTCCTTTGAAACACCAGTTCACCTATTTGGACAATGGTCCACCTCAACTCTCCTTTACCATCTTGGTCTCTCACCTATTAACCAAACAACAAACAAGCAGTCTTTGGTTTGCCTTCCTGTGTATTTATATCCCACATAAATTATATTTCAGACAGGTTTTGGATCTGGTCAAGGCTGGCAGGAAATAGTGGGAGAGGTAGGTGATTTAGAAAGAGAGCGCCACCTAGAGACGAACCTCCTGAACTCCAGCCTGGACCCACCCAGGTCCCCGACTCTACCATCAGCCATGTCAGGGTGTGGAGAAAAGGGAACACTCTTGCAGTGCTGGTGGGAATGTGAATTGGTACAGCCACTATGGAGAACAGTATGGAGGTTCCTTAAAAAACTACAAATAGAATTACCATATGACCCAGCAATCCCACTACCGGGCATATACCCTGAGAAAAACCATAATTCAAAAAGAGTCATGTACCAAAATGTTCATTGCAGCTCTATTTACAATAGCCCGGAGATGGAAACAACCTAAGTGCCCATCATCGGATGAATGGATAAAGAAGATGTGGCACATATATACGATGGAATATTACTCAGCCATAAAAAGAAATGAAATTGAGCTATTTGTAATGAGGTGGATAGACCTAGAGTCTGTCATACAGAGTGAAGTAAGTCAGAAAGAGAAAGACAAATACCGTATGCTAATACATATATATGGAATTTAAGAAAAAAAATGTCATGAAGAACCTAGGGGTAAGATAGGAATAAAGACACAGACCTACTAGAGAACGGACTTGAGGATATGGGGAGGGGAAAGGGTGATCTGTGACAAAGCGAGAGAGAGGCATGGACATATATACACTACCGAACGTAAGGTAGATAGCTAGTGGGAAGCAGCCACACAGCACAGGGAGATCAGCTCGGTGCTTTGTGACCGCCTGGAGGGGTGGGATAGGGAGGGAGACGCAAGAGGGAAGAGATATGGGAACATATGTATATGTATAACTGATTCACTTTGTTATAAAGCAGAAACTAACACACCACTGTAAAGCAATTATACCCCAATAAAGATGTTAAAAAAAAAAAGTTTACCTGAAAATATTTCCAACCACTTAAAACATACGTGATATCAGCACAGCCCACTTAATCTTTCGCACTAACAGAGGGAAGCAGAGACCGATCATCTCAAACAGTGCCTGTGTGTCATTTCTAGACTCTAATGGTCCCTGGAAGGTTAATCTTCCCAAATCCTATTTGATTTAGGCTGACAGTAAACACTTCATCACCCCCTGAGAAACCTGAGGCTCAGGAGAAGTTGAGACAAAAGGAGGAAGTGGGCTGAAACTGGTGTTTGACAATAGGGTGAAAATCAGAAAAACAAGAACAGACTTATTTAAACGTGTTTCCTCCTCTAGTTCCCTCTCACCATCTGTAACATAATACAGTAAAAGCCCACAACTTTATTTTTTTCCCCACAACTTCAGAATCCTGATGAAAACAACTTTCAATACTCATTAACACACTAAAACTACAGTAAAAGACTCTTATTTTCAACTAATAAAACCACCACATTCCGAGCCTTAAAAGTCATCACCTACCACTTGACTCAGCACACACACCCCAAGCACGGTTTGCAGCACGAAAGATTTAAATGCGACCATTATGCTGGAATCAAGAAAGCCCCAAGGAAAAGCTGAGCTCTACGGTAGGAAGCATCCCCGGGGTGGGCCAGTTCCTCACCTCACCAGGTCCTTCAGGCCCTGGTCAATGCGGTGTTCTCTCTAAAGCCCAACTTACACTTGCAGGGAGCCCACATTCCCACCCGCAGTGAGTGAACGGAAGTGGATGCCGCTTACCTGGGATCTCCGATGACTGGCTCTGAGAATAAACGGCTTAATCAGAAGCATCCACGGCACAGAAATCAAAGCCATAATAACACAGAAGCTCTGGACTTCTTGCTGTAAGACCAAAGCCGTAAGATCCTATCATTACAAGGTGACTGCACAGCACGTTTCACACGATTCAAATGGTAAATATGTATCGTTTCAACTGGACTTTATTGGGAGTGATCTACAGCGTTTCAATGGACCCATTCACCCTCCCACCTTGGGCTATTCCCAGTGCAGGGAGACAGCTGTCAGTCCAGAGGTACGGGGTGTCCACTCATGGTGGACACTGGAGTCTCCCTGTCTTTATTCCTTACTCTCCAAGTGGTCCCTTATCATACACCCGCACCATGTGGAGCCTGTCATTGGACAGAAGAGCTCATGAGCCACATCATAAGGGCAGCTTTATTTGTCCCTGGTCCCCTTGACTCTGCTCCGTGGGGACAGTCAGCCCTGGCCCTGGACAAAGCACTGGCCTGGCACTGCGCTGGCCACTCTGGAGTGACCAAAAGTCCTTGGGTCACTTTAAGTCACAAACTTACTGTCTCCATCAGTAACCTTGTATTTCCAGTACTACTAAGCCCTTGTGCTCTCTTTTTCAAAACAATCATCCCCTACTCGCACAGACTCATTGTGGGTGAGTCACCTAACGGGTCCTGGGACGCCTGGGCTGAACTCTCTTTTGCTGTCTCTCTCGCTGTCACAATTCACTTTGGAGTGAGGCATCTATGGTCATCATGCCTCGCTGAAGCCCAGGCGACATCCCATTTTATCATCCTGTCACATATTTCCTTTCACATCCTCACCCCCAACTCTTTTTCCTACCCTCCCGAGTCACTGGGTTTGAGGACTGACCCAGAGCTGCTATGATCTGAAGAACCAGGACTCCTGGGAAGGCTTCATCAGAGCCATTGAAAAGGTGTAGAAATGGGGTGCTCAGAGTAAAAGGGAAAACGCTTCTTGAGCCCTCACATTTCTTTAACTGTTCTGGCCAAGCTCCCAGTGAGACAATTTATCATCATCCCAATTGTAGCAAGATTTACCCCGATAACAGTGGAAACATTTTATCTTCTCCATCTCCTACCCTCCTCCACTCTTATTTTCTTTTATTTTATTCTTGGCTGCGTTGGGTCTTCGTTACTGGCCGTGGGCTTTCTCTAGTTGTGGTGAGCGGGGGCTACTCTTCGTTGCGGTGCACGGGCTTCTCATTGCGGTGGCTTCTCTTGTTGCATAGCACGAGCCCTACACGTGTGGGCTTCAGTAGTTGTGGCACACGGGCTCTGGAGCACAGGCTCAGTAGTTGTGGCATACAGGCTTCAGTAGTTGTGGCACGCAGGCTCAGTAGTTGTGGCTCGCGGGCTCTAGAGCACAGGCTCAGTAGTTGTGATGCACAGGGCTTCGTTGCTCCACGGCATGTGGGATCTTCCCAGACCAGGGAGAAGACCTATGTCCCCTGCATTGGCAGGTGGAGTCTTAACCACTGCGCCACCAGGGAAGCCCCCTCCTCCACTCTTAACTGCTCCCAAGGAGGGGGAGAACCACGGGAACACACACTGCACTTGCCAGTCCCAGGCCCCTATCCTCGAAGCTACCTCGTTGCCATTTGCCCATTTAGATATGATGCTTTTTCCCTTCACAATGTACAAAGCAACCAGAGATGTCTACTTATCTGTTGCTCTTCTTCTTTGATATTGAAACATGGCACGAAGCAACCAGGGCGGTGTTTGGAGGAGGCTGTATTAGTAACTTACACTGTCTCTTCCAGCTGCATGACGGGAAGATGAGGTTATGGAAACTGCAAACTGTGTCTAGATAATGAATCTTCATTCCAGGGTGTGGAAACCAGCCAACTCCAAATAACATTTTTGAATGGAAAAAAGCTGGAAAAGCCATTCACTGTTCAATGTTCAATGCACTAAGACAGGACTTTAGTCTTTAGGAAAAGAATTAGCACATGAACTATGTGGTGGATCTGAGTACCGTGCCTCAAAGAGAAGACTTGTTTGGGAAATCCAAGTGAACTTTCGTTTAGACTCCAGCATTGCATAAACGAACCTTCCAGATACATTCATTTAATGCCAATAGTCTAGGGATGGTTCCTACACCATCGATGCATAACAAACAGGTGCAACAATAGTAAGGTGGGATACAAGAGAGCTTTCAGAGCTATATGTCGTCTCTGATTATTCGCTAAAATCATTCCTTACTTTTTCTTCTTCTTATTTGCTGCTTCTATAGGGGAGGAGAACGCAGCTAGGATTCAAACTCATGAGGACGTGTGCAGCTGTAGGAGGAGCATGGCTGTAACTGGGACCCAGGATGAGCGGTCACTGGCAGGTGCCATGTGCTGGTATTGGGAAATCTAGCCCTAGAGCTTGATTCAGAGGAATTAGAACCTATGTAAGTGGGTCCTTCCTTAGTGAAAATCTACCAGCAAACAATATCATCAGGTTATCACTGGGAGAGGCCAGAGGAAAAGAACTATTTGTGTTACCAAAAATTAGTCACTGAGATATTTTTTTTTTTTGTGGTACGCGGGCCTCTCACTCTTGTGGCCTCTCCCGTTGTGGAGCACAGGCTCCAGACGCACAGGCTCAGCGACCATGGCTCACGGGCCCAGCCACTCCGCGGCACGCGGGATCTTCCCGGACCGGGGCACAAACCCACGTCCCCCGCATCGGCAGGCGGACTCTCAACCACTGCGCCACCAGGGAAGCCCTCACTGAGATATTTTTATAGCCACCTGTCATGGGACATTTATACTTTTTTAAAATAAAATATTAAGTTGATAATGAGGCTGAAAGAAACAGAAGTCAGAATGGCAATAACGTCCAACTGTTGGAAGGTATCATCCACAGAAGAAGAGCCCAAAGAAAAACAGAAAAAGCATCTCCAATGAGCCCCGGAAGCTCATAGGACAGCGTGAATTTGGGTCAGTTTTCCAGAAACTCACTCCCCCTGTGAACAGAGGGATTCTTCTTCTTGACTCTATTTCAATTTTCTTTCTTGTGAACCTTAACTAGAGTTTACTTTTATAATAAAAGATTATTCATTTTTAAGGTGCTATTGAGAGCACTTACCGTTTCAAGCCAATCAATCCCAAGGATTATTTTTTTTCTTTCTTCGCAGACAACGTACAAGCTCATTTTCAACCCCGCAGCAATAATCCCTCCCACGTATCACCCAGATAGGAACGGCTGGAGCCACACCGCAGCACTGCCCTCAGCACCCAGCCATTCATCCAATAGGACCTTCTGAATCTGAAGAACCTAACACATCGGGTGCTGAGACGGCTCAGTCTTGCAAGTAATTACTCTCTGCGATACCCAAGGGTAGGAGAGAGATTTAACATAATCAAGTGCGTAAAAGAAGAAAAAAGACCCATCAGTACCTGATGTTCGTATAGGGGTGCGTTCGAAGGGTCATTATAGTTAAACAGGAACATGTTGATGAAGTGAATGAGGATGCTCGGGGCTCGCCGGGACACAGAGACGTCGAAGGAGCACCATTTGAAAATGATCATGAAGACCAGGTATCCGAAAAGACACAGGATAAAAATCATCTCGGGGATGAACTGCAGAACGATGTTGAGAGTGTTCCTGAAGAATCTGAGGGTGGGAAACATACACACGTACAAGACAGAACATCGAAGGAATACCAACAACTCACTATTCTCTCCAAATCACCACATGTTCATTTCTTTGAACCCTGCATCCACTCCCCAGGCACGTGGCAATCATGCATGGCTGGAGAAGAGGAGAAAGAAAGGTGCTTTTGCACAAAAGGTTCAGAGAGAACCAGGGTCTAGAAGATAAAGTCTGAGGCAGAGGGCAGGCTCACAGAGACAACTGATGATCTGGCCGCAGCTTCCCATGCAGACCGGATTCATATCAACACAGTTAATGGTACAAGGATATAGAAGCATGGCTTGGCAGGTTTTCCCCTAAGGATGCCCTAGGACAGGGGTCGGTCAACAATGGCCCACAGGCCAAACTGAGCCCATCACCTAGCTGTGTACAGCTTACAAGTTAAAAATGGTTTTTACATCATTAAGTGGTTGGGGGGAAAAATCAAAAGAATATTTGATGACACGTGAAATGATAGGAAATTCAAATTTCAGTTTTCATAAATAAAGTTCTATTGGAACACACTCACACTCATTTGTTTACAGAGTCTGTGGCAGCATTCACACTACAACACCAGAAGTGAGTAGCTGTGACACAGACCATCTGGCCTGCAAAGCCTAAAACATTTACTATGTGGCCCTTTACAGAGAAAATTTGCCACCTTCTGCTCTAAGACATAGAGAGAGTCCCACAAGACTAAGTTGGGGGACACCCAGTTAAAATGTCAGAAAAGGGCCCCAGACCCTTTGTTAATTGTAAGAGTTATTGGAGGGAAAAATGCAGATCCCATGATAAAGCAGGATTACTAGAGATAGTTGAGGCCAGCCTGACACACGATGTCAATGATAGTCCAAAAATCACTTCCTGGTTTTCTCTCTCATGTAACTCTCACAGCACTTTCAGGCAGGCAGTAGTACCAAGGCGCTGTCATTCGTTTACTCACTAAATAGTTCTTATTTTTTAAGTAGAATCGTACATCTATTGGTTTTCTGATTGGAGGTCACCACGTGCCTGGCTCTGGTCAATGAAATGGGAATGGAGGTGGCCTGTGTCACTCCAGGTGGAACCTTAAGAGTCAGTGTGTAACTGACCACACTCTCCTGTCACAGCAACTGGCAGCTTCCAGGTGGTGGCAGCCCATCAGCTCTGGTCGCAGTGTGAGGATGAGATGAGCAGTGCCCCCGGTGGCCCACGATGACATGCATCACGGTCATAAACCACTGTGATTTGGGAGTTGTTACTGCACAGTAACCGACCCATTCTGACTCCTCTATTCCCATTCTACAGCAGAACACGATCTCGGAGACGTTAAGCTACACACCTATGATCACACAGCTATAAAGAGTTAGAACCATCAGTCAACTTTCTGACTCTAAACTCTGTACCATTTCTTTGGCACTGTGCTGACCTCCTGGCAGGTGGGTTTCAGCGATACCTACAAGCTGCCATGTCCACAAAAGCATCTCTAAATAGGCATATTGGAGGCCGTTTTCAAACATTTACAACTTAGCACAAATATGCAAGTTTGAGAAGCTTTCTGTAGATCAATCTTAACAGAAAGAAGAGACGGGAGAACGTTAACAGTCCAAGAAATGAGAGAGAGGCTGCTGCCAGCAGGAAGAAATTATACCGAATGGAATTCAGAATTTGAGGGCACTCATGTCCCCATCTGCCCACTGGTGGGAGTTAAGCCTGGATCCAGCACCAGCGGAGGCCCTGCAGGCTGGGAGGACACACAGCACTGTGGCCTTGCAGTCTCTTTCTGACCCCTCAAATACTTCTGAGGGGAAAGGTGCACTCAGCTCAGGAGAAAGAGGTGTCATTTCTGGCAAACCAGCTTGTCTCAAGTCAAGAGCCCGGGGAAAGCAGTCCCCATAGGAAGGAAACTTGCACGGAGGGACACAGGAGCAAAGTGGGGGCTCTGCCACTGCTCCTCCCCGACACGGTCAGACCAACAGGCAGAAAGTTCATTGTGAAACTTACATGTGATTGAAAAGGCTGAGAATGACACCAAAAACCATCTGGACAATTCCCAGGATAACTGACATCTTCATCTTATAGGAGTTCAAGAATGTTAGCTTGTTTGAAGCCAAGTTCCAAACCTGGAAGGGAAACGTGACAAGAAAGACATGAGACCGGAGTCTAGAAGTTCTCCCAGAGTCAGGGGCTAAAGCTCGATTTCCCCTGAAAAAGTCGCTCTGGGAACCACATTTTCAAATTTCTGTCCAGTTCAGCACATGCATTTTAGGCTCAGCAAAGGACCAAACCCCTTATAAATGCAACTCTCATGACAACTGTGTTGGAACCAATAGCACCATTAGTAAAACATCAAGTAACTGGAAGAAAAAAGAAAAAACCGACATGATTTTTCCCCTGTTCTAAATGAAAAGACATTCTGAAACATTATGGAGAGATCTCAAACTTGCCTGGTTCCCACATTCATGGTGTAGATCTCTGGCCCATGAACTTAGCCAATCCCCTCTTAATAATACCACCTTTTATGCTGAATTTCTATAGCACTTTACATTACAAAGCATTTTCCCAGGCCCTTCTCAAGAAGCCACTCCTGTAGCCAACATTTATTGGCACAGAGAGGGACGCGTGTACCTGTCCTGCCCACACCAGACGGGCACACAGGACAAGCACTCAGCGGCTGGGGGCTGTCGTGGCCTCACCCTGGTTAATGGTCCCAGTCACTAACACTCTTCTTCCCCGCAGAAATCTCCAACACCCACCCCCATGCGAATGATTCAAGTCCTTGCTCCTACCCCTGACCCCTCTGGAACTTTAGGCATCTGGAGGGTTTGCTCCTCAGAACTAACACAGCCACAGGGTCTTCTTTTCTTTCCTCCTAAACTACTTCCTCCTCCAAACTCCTCTGCTTCTGCTAAGGGGTCGACGTCCACCTAGTGCAGCCTCAGTGCACAGTTCCCTTCCCCTCCCCCATGCAGGAACCACCTCTCACTGACTCTGTCTCGACAATGTCCTGAGCGGCCGCCAGCTGAACAATCACTAAGGGGGCTGCTGGGAAGATGGGGAAAGGGACTCCTGTCACAGGTGCTCAGACCCCAGAGGCACCTCCACGACCCTCCCCATCTGCCCTGGCACTGAAGCTGCACAGGCTTGCCCTCCACCTTCTGCTTTTTCCCTTTGCCCTCCTGGTGGGCCAGTCCCCACAGAATCACTCAACACAGTAAGGGCAGGGTTACCAGTACACCTTAGACCCAGCCTGGAAAAACTAAAAAATGTTCACGGTTAAGTACCAGGTACATACTAAGCTCTTCAAGTGTATTTATCTCATTTAATTCTAACAACTCTATGGGATAGTTGTAAGTATTCCCATTTTACAGATAAGGGCATTTATCAAAATCTCAGAGAGACTAAGTTACTTACACACCCAAGGAGAAATAATACAACAGCAAACGGAGCGTTTACTCTGTTTATGCACCAGACTCTGCTGGGTGTTTCACCTATAAAATTCGTTCACTCTTCTGAGCAATTCTATGAGGGCTATTATTATACCCATTTTACAGATGAGGAAACAGACCCAGAGATGATAATTTGCTCAAAATCACGTAGCAAGTAAATAGAAAAGCCAAGATTTAAACACAGCCTATCTGATTCTAAATCATGGGCTTGTAACCATTGTGTAATGTTCATTTATTATAAAATTTACAGACGCCTTTAGAAAGCCCCCTCAGCTCTGATGCCCGAATATTTTGTGATCTGATTCACAAATAGATGCTCAACAGAGTTAATAAATGCAGCTGTAGAAATTTACATTATGTAAAAATCAAACCCTTCATTAATATATATAAGTGCTAATATAAACACAGAAATGTTCCATTAAAGAGATTATCTCTGGGCAATCAGATTGCAGGAAGAAGAAAGGTAAGAAAGGCAACTCTTCCTTTTTATTTAAAAAAAATTTTTTTAACATCTTTACTGGAGTATAATTGCTTTACAATGGTGTGTTAGTTTCTGCTTTATCTTTTTATTTTTTAATAATTTTTGTATTATATGGGTTTTTAATCATATATATTATTATTTTATAATGTTTAAAAAGACCAAAAATCTTTAAAAATCTAAATGTTACTAGGAAAAAATTATTTTCAACACATCACCTTCCCTTTCACCCTCACATTTTTCTTTTCTTTTCTAACTAGTGGGCAGATGACAAAATTGCACACAGAGTAAAGACTGGACCACTCAATTCTGAATCGTGAAATTTGCTACCCTCCCTTTGTCCATGAGGAGCAAAACTGGGTAGATAGGATTTGCTGATGCATTAGATGGGGGCTGTGAAGAGAAGAGACAGGACAGTGGGAGCAATGAGATTCAAAGGAAAGGAAGGTCAACCAGACCCTAAAAATCACTCCCCTCTAATACTCCTCCGCTGCCTGTTCGCTAATCATGAAATTCCTTGGACTGAAGATAAAGTCTTCCAGTCTACAAAAATAACAACTTGCATTTATTTTTAGCACTTTGCAGCTTACAAACAGGACTTCAAGGACTTCGCCTCTTTTGATAAAACTTTGAATGCAAGTGCCCCTGGGTGGCAAGTATAAACCAATCCTGGGTGATGCGCGCTGCTTTTATAAGGGACAGGAGGTGGGCAGCAAGTGGGAGGAACAGGAAAACTGAAGAGGAGATGACCCACAAGATAGGAGAGACCAGAGAACCAATTTTAGGGCCAGTGCTATTACTCTCAACTGTCAGCAAGTAAAACTGTGGTCTCAGGTTCTCTTCCAACAAAGTGAGAGTAGAGCAAACTTTTATGAACCCCATCTGCCAAGTTCAGCTCCAGACACTTGTGCTCATTTGGGGCACAAGGCCGCCACCTGGTGGCAAAATGGTGCTAAGCCATCGTGTGAGGGGTTTTACCCAAATAGGGATGTGTCTTCTTGACATCTCTGTACCTGCAGGCTGGGCGAGGAAGCACCTTTGTTTGTTTGGCTCAAATCCAATTGAGGTAGATATAGCAAACCATTAAAGTTAACACATTTTTAAAAACTTGTATAATTCTATGCAATAAAATAAAGCAAATATAAAAGCAAATCCACACTTTTCTAGGAAAAAGAGAGATGTTAATCACTGCAAGAAAACGCCAAAATTGGGAACTTGGTTAGGTTGCTAAATTGCTTATCTAATATGCATACTTTCCAAGCAACCACGGGCCTTTTAAAGAAGCAACGGTAAACCACCAGGGGTATAACTGAGAAGAAAGAGGCAGATGTTTGGGAAATTGCATGGAAAATGACGCAGGGGCTGGGTAAAGGGTGCAGGTAGGACATTTACTTGAATCCACTGCAGTGCGTCACAAAAACCTCCAGGACATGCTATTCTATCTCAGTACAAGTTGGTGGATTTGACAGGTTCTGGTACTCTCCTCTCCTCCACACAGAGATCCCCTCAGCAAGACATTTTACATAATGAATATTTAATCTCAGAAGACATTATTACCGGATCAATCCCAAAAGGGTATGGATTTCCAGAGTACACTCCCGGAACGGCTGGGTCCAGCTGTAAATATGGATTTGTTTCCATTACTTGTGTACTACAGAGGGAGAAAGGAAAAACAAAACAAAACCAATGATCAACTAGAGGTAGGAAAAACACTATAGTACCATCAGTCATCCACTTGCAAGCCAATCAAAGCCTAACTGTTGGTGCGACTCACCAATTGGTTCGTTCAATTATTCCACAAATGGGTACTGAATACCTACTATGTGTTGAGTATCACCCTAGGTACTGAGCTACAGAAATTACCATCTGGCCCCCAAGGAGGTCACAGTCTGAGTTTCCAAAGGGCTCCCAGCCTGACTGGGTATAGTAAAGAAAAAGTTATACTACATCAGAAAAGAGGCAGGGGGCAAGGGTGACAGCAGTATAGAGGAAATAAAACCCAGCCCTGGGACCAGGCTGGGAAATCTCCCCTGGGAGCACGAGAACTGATCCTGGAGGAGTGAACTGGCTTTCACACATGGCCCCTGACCTCTGGGAAACTCAGCCCCTGAAAGCTGTGGCCCATTAACTGCCTTTAAATCTGTGTCCCATTCTCACCCAGAAGCACAAATGTCAATGGGCAGGAATCTCTTACCATCTGTGCAAACCTGAAGGGGTTAAGAACATTAGGGCTTAATTTTTCTTTTTTTTTTTTTTTGCGGTACGCGGGCCTCTCACTGCTGTGGCCTCACCCGTTGCAGAGCACAGGCTCCGGACGCGCAGGCTCAGCGGCCATGGCTCACGGGCCCAGCCGCTCCGCAGCATGTGGGATCTTCCTGGACCGGGGCACGAACCCCTGTCCCCTGCATCGGCAGGCGGACTCCCAACCACTGCGCCACCAGGGAAGCCCTTAATTTTTCTTTTTTTAAGAGCACACATCTATGGAGGGGCCCAAGGATGAGTATTTGAAAGGATGAAGAACAGAATGTTGGCAACGTGGACAGGCTGCCTAGAAATACACTCCCTCCCTCCTGCAGCTGGGGTGTGATGGGTATTCGGTAGCACAGGGGAAATTAGGAAGCCTGATTATGCTGACCAGGCCCTCAGTGACAGTGTAAACAGCTGGCCCTGACCGGCCATCTCAGACCTAGAGCCCGGTCCTAACAGCACGCCTCAGTGCAAATGGTTGGATCTAATAATCAGAGATGTATTTGTGTGTCAACAAAGATAAAAGAGGGAACTGGCCTGGCGCCCACAGCTAAGCCAACAACATCAGACAAGGCCACCCTGTGACCATCATGGACCAAGACAAAAACAAGACCATTCCACAATCTTATCTGATATCAAAATATGGACAGTTCAAAATAAGGATGTTGTCCAAACCACAAAAATGACCACCACTCCCCTTATCCTCCCAGAGGCCAAATCCTCTAAGCCCTTCTAACACCCTCGTACTGAGATGCCCCCCATCCCCAGAGGGCACCATTTCCCTCACCGAGTCAATCAACCCAATTCTGGTGACAACACACACGATTCTTGTGTTCTGTGGCTGAAGGATGGTGCGACAGTGTCTCTAGCCCACTGTCAGGGAAGGCAGGCCCAAGACCTAGCTTGTGGCCAGTGACACAATCAGCCCACTGTGCCCTTTGCCGCTCTGATGCGTGCCTACGATTTCCTTTCGCCTCCCTGCTGAAGAGGGTCTGCTTCCTACCATCCATGCTTGGGCGCGGGGCTGAGCTTGGGGTCTCTCCGACTAGGCTTGGCCTCCACAGCCTGGAACTGGGGCCAGGGTAACTTACATGCACACGAAAGAACAATATTCCAACCCACATTTGCAGAGTGACAGCAAGACAGTTGACTCGGACTTTTCGCAGTCACACTCCAGGGCAAATGAAATGTTGTGTAAATAGTTTGCTGAAGCTATGCTGATTTAACACATGTTCCGGGATCCATCACCATGCTTATGAGTTTAAGGCTGAAGAGCAAAACTCAGCAATTTCTCTCCAAATGTTATGAAGAGTTTTGTCCTTCAAGGCATCTCTTCAGGGTACTAATTGCAAAGAAAAAACAAACAAAACCCCATACCCATAGCCATCTGTAACTGTAGTCCTGCAAAATGTTTTCTTCTTCATTTTTATTTACTTATTTATTGTTCAACATTCCTGTCCTCTACTACAGGGCACTTGGACCCAGCAAAGGGACTAAAAGGAGAGGCACGGAGCCCCTGTGACACACCCACCTGTACTACGATAGCCCCTGAGCCCCCCTGGGCCTTCAGTCAGCACCAAGCCCCCAAAGGCACTTAGGAACATTCACGTCGAAAGGAACCCTGCGTTGAATCTTTCCTGAGAAATCCTCAGAGGAGACGGATGGTGTATTCTCTCCCCCCACTTACGATGTGTGGTGCAAATTTTGGTGAGCAGATAAGACCCCTGACGTGCCTTAAATAGAAAGTCCTACCACGCTTGAGAGAGAAAAGATGGAAGCAAGGTTGCAGATACGGTTACACATCTCCGCCTCCCCTTTCTCGCGGTGCTCTCCTGTCACACTTCCCACTGGACGTTCCAGAAAGAGACAGAGAAACCTGAAGCTGCCCTGAAGCAGGTGAGTGGGCAGACGTGAGGGAACATCACCTGGGACTTTTAGGCCTCGCAAAGCAACCCGGAACCCACTGTGGTTGTCTCGAGTGTGTGACGCAGGCAGCCGAAGGTGCCCCAAAGATCCCAAGGGAGTCAGCACTCTCCCTCGAAGCCCCTGCCCCTCACTGCCCTCCTCTTCTCCCCCAATTCATCACACTGACCCACCCCTCAAACTCAAAACTCTTTCTCCCTCTCCATAAAAGTCTCCCTTCCGAAGCGCTCTCTCCATCCTGATGACTGTGTGTCTGACACACTGCATAATAACTGGGGATGCCTGCGGAAGGTGTGGTGGGTGGGGACGCAGAGAGCTTCCAGGTCTCTTTCCTGCAGCCCAAACTTCTCACCAGCCTGCACATCCTACCCTCTGCGTTCCTCGCCCCGTCCCCCACAAGTACAGGGAACAAGTACAGCAGCGCAAAACTAACCGTCTTCTCCTTTGCTTTCAACGTTCAGTCAAGCTGCTCTGAGCCGTCAAAAGAAAAACGCCCTTCTGGTGAGTCCGGGGCTTTGAACGTGGGAAACCAATCACTTATATATAGTTCAGACCTGCATCAGCCTTTCTTAAAGCGAAGTCTTCTGCCCTAAGTATGTGGCTGCATAATTGCACTCTATCCCCGACTTCCTGCCAAGCAAGGTATGTTTCAAACGCCACCTCCTCCTCCCGGAAGCCTCACTTCCACGACTGCTACTCGGATGCCCAGTTTATACCTGCCCCACCGTTGTTTTCGCAACAGTGCCTGGCACACGGGGTGCACTCCAGGATACCTACTTAATTCAGCTGAAGTTTTAAAAACTCTTTCCACGCATTACAGTTACCAGCGCAGTTACTGAGGACGTGGTACAAGGTCTCACACTCAACAGATAAAACCAAATTATCCGGTGAAGTAGTGGGCGCACCTCTGAGCAGGGCCAGGCGTAGGATCCCCCCGCCGAGAACTGTCACTGAGGCCACCTGGATGGCCACTGAGTGACCCAGCTCTGTCCCAACTTACTTCCATGTGCCATTTCTGAACATGGGTTGGACGCTCCAAGAAGAGCCGAAGATGTTGAAAGACTTGGAGAAGCAGTCGTTGTAGATCAAGCCCGTGTAGATGGAGAAGATGCCCAGGAGGAGGATGAGGTAGCGTCCGTGGAAGAAGGTGTCCCAGATCTGGCGACAGAGGGTGATGGTCAGTAGGCTCTGAACCAGACCCCGGGGACGTGCGTTATAGGATGCCTCCAGCACCACTGGGACAGCCACTGCAAGGCACGCGGGCATCCCACACAGAGGGGCCACGTGACCAGGCAGGCATCAAAGTGATGCAAACAGACAGGGCACACACATCCTGATTTTCCTGAGCTTCTACGGGTGATTCAGAAAAGTCCTAGAATGGTAGCTGTTACTGTGGAAACAAAGCACTATCAGCTTCATATTCTTTAATTCAGCCTTGGTTAGAAAACGTAACTGAAGCAGCAGCTGAGGCCTCCCTTATAAAGGAAGGGACTTGAAAGTGGGTGGCAGCTGCCTCAAGTGCTTCTGGGACCTGCCTCCTATGCTGCGAAGTTTTACAGCAAGTGAAGTCTACGCTCATCTGGGGTCTTGTTATAACAGCGAGTCTCTGTCTCAGCACGTCCACCAAGAAGAGTAAAGCGTTTTCCGTAGGACGAGATGATGTGTATCAGCCGTTCTCAGAACTGCTGAAGTGTCCATGTGAGACTTTAAATATTTATTATAGGAAAGCACAGCTGTTAAGATGCTTGTCATGGAAAACTCTATTGGTCACAGGTTGATTCTCCCACTAACCCTGCTTATGACTGACTTGCTATGACATCATTGAACGAGGTCAACTTAAGTCAACTTGTATTAAAGATTGCAGATATTCTTAAAATTCAGAACAGAGTGAAAAGCGTGTTTCCAGTTTATAAAATGTATTACAGTGGACATAAAGTGACGTTAGCTGATTAACCCTGAAACAATGCGGACTTGAGTTGTCTCAACCTTCACAACGCGGTGCAGGGACGTCACAGAAAATGTGGAAACTTCAAGTGTGCAAGTGAAGACCCGATATTCAGGATTTCTCAGCATTTCATAAGAATGCTGATCATGGGCTGATCGTAGGAGAAGAGCTCTGCCGTAAAAAACTATTTGTGATATTTTGAGTGAAAAATAGGGAAGCTACAAATTAATATGCACTATTTCATCCCAATTTTAGAAAATTATATACCTGTGTATAAGCACAGGAAAAAAAACATTAATTGTGATTTTCTCTAGGTAGTTAGATTATTGTATTTTCCCAATTTTTGCAGTGAACATATATTGCTTTTATAATCAAAGGAAAAAATCAATGTTAAGAAAAAAAAGTAAAGGAAAAGATCAATGCCTTGTCAAGTAATGTACAAAAGACAAAGATGCTACTTCACCAAACCACCCAAAGGATTTACCTTTGGCCAGGAGTTTTTATGTTGAACTCTGGTCCTTTGTTACTTTCCATCTTTCTCTTACTTTTTATAACAACATGTTATTTCCATGTTGAAAACAATATACACATTTTTAATATTCTACTTATAACCTCCAAGAAACGAGGCGAGACATTTGATGAACACTCACCTCATTGGTCGTCTTCTGGGACAGCAAGCGTCTCTCATTAAGGACCATCCAAAGGGCTGCCAGTAGCATCACAATTCCGTGACCACAGTCTCCAAACATCACAGCGAACAGGAAGGGGAAAGTGATGATGGTGTAGGGAGCTGTAGAGGTGAGACCCACAACAGCCTGAGTCCTCCCAACATTCTTTGGGCCCCACGTCAAAGATTTCTCTACCACGCTCCATGATCTACAAGCTGGTTCCTTGTGCCTTTCTGATTCTGTCTTCCCTCACCATCCCACCCCTGACACTCACTCAGCTCCCCCATACACTAGCTCATCAATGATAAGTATTATTATTCCCCACTTTACAGATGAGCTGAGTTTGGGAGCAGCTAAGTGACTCTCCCCATGATCATTTACAAGTCAACTTAGTGACACAGCTTGTGACTCCAGTCTTCTGACTACAAGTCCTGTCTATGTCCATCTCCATCTCTCCCACACAACAGCTATGGGACTGTGCAGACGCCTACAGATGACCCTCATTGAATCATTAAGGAAACAAGAACTGAAGTTGGCTGCCTGATACATCTACAGTTTAAGGGAGAACAGGTGAAATCTTGACGAAGAGCAAATCTTTCACTAATCACCATTTGCAAAAGACAATGCAGGGCATTAGGAAACCAAATAAGATTTTAGGAATGTCACAGTTCAACGTGATTAACTGCCAAGGCCACCGTAGGGGTAAATCTTATCCAGTTTTCATTTTCAAGCTGCCTAGTTGTGCAATACATCGGTCCCTTTACCTGGGTTCATCTCCCGGTAACTGCCTACACCGTATGCATCGACAATATTCTGGAAGCCAGCTGTGAATTTATTGGTCCTGTTAAATGTGGGAGGAGCTGTTTTAGATTGCACTGCTGTCATGATGGGGACCATGGAGGAGCCGCTCAGTTCCTGCAAAAAGAACATATAAGAAGATGTAAGGAGGAGAGCCATAGGCTAGGTGTCAGCAGGTACATCTCACAGTCCAACTCCTGCCGCAGTCACTTACTGGGTGAACTTGGGACAATTTTCTGACCTGAGACTCATGATCTCATCTGTAAAATTAGTACTTATCTCATTCCTCTTACAGGAGAGGTGTCAAGAGAGTAGAGTTCCTCCTGATTCTCTGGGAATTTCCATTCTCCGGCTCCTGCAAATGTTATGCACACTTCTGAGCCCTCTACTCTTCCTTCCTTCCTTCCTACTTACTCCCTCAAGAGTTCATTCACTTTCCTAATTCTGTTCCTAGATTCCCAATGGCCCTGACCCTCTCTGAAATTTCAATTCTCTTTTCATTGCCTGCCTAGGCTTTCAAACACGCATGTCTCAACAACCCCACAAAAATCCAGGAGCCTAAAACTGAACTCACCAACTTGCCCCAAAGCCAGGTCCTCCCCTGACCTCTCAGTAATCTCCAATCTCCAGATTCCAGACACTTTGGAATCACGAGACTTGTCTCTTCTCTTGATTCAGTTAATCACCAAATCTTGCTAATCGTCCCCTTTAAGTCCCTCCTTTTCCCATTCCCACAGCCACCAGCCTGGCCCCGAGCCTCACCATCGGACTCCAGTCTCCTTCCCTTCCATTTAGTGCCTACTCCAGACCGCGTAATCCTTCTTTTAATAAAACAAACAAAAAGCACTACTTTAGTCATGTTACCCTCCTACTCAAAAATCTTCAAAGGCTTCCTATTACCTAAAGAATGAAATCAAATCTCTTTGGTCTTATAATCCAGACTTCTTTACAACATTGATTTAATCCTGTATTCACACCTTCACCCGCACTACTTCTCCATGGAAATCAGCCAACTCCACACTAGGCTTCTCTCTTCTTCCCTTCTCCAAGTATTAACAATTCTCCAGCTCACCCCCCAGGAACCTTCTGGTCACTCCAAACTCCAGCAGCGCTTACCACCTGTGCACTCAGTACAACTTAGCACCAACTAAACGAGTGCTCAGCCGTCCTCCTAGCACCTCGATGACGTAGGTATCACCACAAGCCTCACTTCACAGATGAGGAAACTAAGGGGCCGAGAGATTAAGTAACTTCCCCAAGGTCACCCAGCAAGTCGAGGAGATCCTCACTCCATTTTTATATGCCTTTTCATATGTGTGATTATGATCTCCTTGAGGGCAAGGACTGTGGCTTCCTCCTTTTTTCTAAACATGCCCTCCAGGAGCTGACACAATGCTTGGCATGGAGTAAGTATCTTTTGCTTATGTGATGATGATAATGATAGCCACTCCCTTCCACTTCTCTCCTCACCTCCTACTCACACAGGTCCTCTACTCCGATCTCGGGAAGTAATTATCTCAGAGGACTGGAGATGCTGTAGAAATGGTCCCAAGTAGCCCTGTAGGAGTCTGGCCCCTTCACGATTACAGGATGTCACTGTTGGGTTCAGACCCCTGCGTTAGGGCAGCCTTCTCCCACAGCCCGCTGTCTGCCCCACACGGCAGTGAAATGTTTCTAAAACACAAACTGGACCATGTCGCTCCGGCAAAGGAAGGTACACCACTAGAGTCCGTCCACCAGCACCTGCCCTGCAGCCTCTCCCCGACCTTACTCGAAGCCTTTCAACTTGCCGCGCCCCAGCTCCAACCACTGGCCACCCCACCTCTCTCCACCTGCCCACTGACCGCCCTTCCACAGCTCAGCCTGTGCACTCCTCTGGGAAGCAGCTGCCCCTCCCAGTCTGGGTGAAACGCTCTGTGTAAGTGCCCCATTTGGGTAGTTACTGGACCACGATGTGGGGACATTCAAATCCTACCTCCTGGCTAACTAACCAGGGTCAAGTTACTTCCACTCTCTGTGCCTCGGTTTCCTCATCTGTACAGAGGGGATAAAGATAGCTCCTATCTCCTCATCCAACCCGACCTCCAGGTTGGGTCCCTTCAGACCCTTCAGCCCGAAAGCTCTTCCTCCCACCCTGCCTCATCTTCCCATGACGTGCAGGAAAGTCTGCTCTAGTGCCAGCTGCTCAGAGGGGCCTTCTCCCCAACAGCCCTAGAACCGTATTAGAAAGACCTAAAGCTTCAGGGCCCCAAAGGCCAAGCCATGCGTTCCTCTGCTCCCACCAGGTATGCCACCCACTTAACAGGAAAGGCTCCCCACCTAGCCAGTTCTCCCAGCAGACAGACCAACGGCACACTGCCCAGGCTTCAACCTGATGAGTTTCACCTCCCTGCCACCCCAGAAAATCATTCAAACAAGGTAATAATCACATTCTCCCATGGAAACAGGGGTCCCCCTATCCTCCTGTCACTATAAAGCCTGCCTCCCCTATAGCTCCTGCTGATTCATTCTGCTCCCAAGTGCAGGTCCCAAGTGCAACCTCCATGTGGTCCTGTGTGACGTGCAGTGTCCTCCCCTGGGCTGTGAGTATATGTGACAAACTGTGGCCAACCTCATCTGTCCAGTATCAGGTGTCATCTGTTTGGCCACCTTGCAATAGTTAGGGCAGAGGGTCCCTTCTTCACCAATGGGGTGAATAGGTGATCAGACAGGCCCCTCACTCCCCACACCCTTCACTTTCCCCCTGCTTTACTTCCCGTTCACCATGATTTCACTGCCTGAAATCACATTAGTTAGGGACAAGCCTGCTGTCTATCTCCCTTTCGAGAACGTCTATCAGAGCACGGCTTTGTTCTGCCAGCACAGCCCTAGATCAGTTCCTGGGGCACAGTGAACACCTAGAGGGATGACTCAAGAGCGCGGTGAGAGTTACATAAGGCGCGCTGAGTGCTCAGCACAGCGGCTGGCACAAGGGAGCAACCCACTCCCTGCGTTCCGGCTGTTATTGCAGGTGCCTGGTTATCTGTCTTTCCAGCCAGACAAAGGTGGTATCTACAGGCATAACTAGCAGAGTGACGGCACATCAGTGCCCAGTACACACTTGCTAAGATCAAAGAAATGGTGCATGTTTATCAAACGCTGAGAAGAGCGGGAGTTTCTGACACACGCCCACGCCCTGGGTAAGGACTGAAGGCGCAAAGATAAAGGAGACAATCCTACCAGGTGAGGTTCGCTTGACTTAGGAGGCTGACCAGCTGAGGGCCTGGCAGAGAGGCTGCTCAGGCTGGACGTGACTCCCCGCCTCCCGCTCCACGCGCCACGCACCATGCCTTGCTCCAGTGCCCTCCTGATGCGCACGGCGTCTGCCACCGGGAACCAGATCTCAGCAATGATGCACTGCTGGGTGACGTCGATGTTGCACATGTTCAGGATGTGGTAAATGGCCTTCATCTTGTGCACTTTGATGATCCAGGAGTGCCAGCTGGCAGCTGCTTCTTGCAGGAGGTGCTGACGGTGAGACTCTGTCTGTGTTATGACCTGGGCAAAAAATACCAACAGCAAAACAAGGGGCACTCATGGAGATGCCGGACAACGTGGCAACAATGGAGGCTCATGGGCCATGGAGGCGTCCTCTGCTCCTGGCCCCCTCTTCCGGCCTGCAGCTCTCACCCGGCCTTTCGCTCTCATGAGCAGTTTATCTCCCCCACTAGAGGTTAAAACCCTCAGGCAAGGACTATATCTTCCTTTTCTTCTAAATTCCTTATAGTACTATTGTGATGTATTGAATTGTGTCCTCCCCAGAAGACATGCTGAAGCCCTAACCCCTGGTAACTGTGAATGGGATCTTATTTGGAAATAGGGTCTTTGCAGATATAATCGAGTTAAAATGAGGTCATAAAATGAGGAGTAGGGTGGGCGCTATTCCAGTGTGACTGGTGTTTTTATAAGAAATTTGGACATGGAGGCACACAGGAAAGATATGTGTGATGCAGGCAGAGACCAGAGTGATGCATCTACAAAGGAAGGACCATCAAGGACTGCTGACAACGCCAGAGGCTAGGAAGATCCTTAGTCAACTCGGGCAGCTATAATGAAATACCACAGACTGGGTGCCTTATAAACAACAGAAAGTCTCCACAGTTCTGGAAGCTGGAAGTCTGAGATCAGAATGCCAGCACGGTTGGCTGAAGGCCCTCTTCTGGGTTGCAGACCTCAAATTCTAACTTCACATGGCAGAAAGCGCAAGCAAGCTCTCTGGGGTCTTTTTTAGAAGGGCACTAATCCCATCCACGAGGACTCCACCCTCACGACCTAATCACCTCCTGGAAGGTCCCACCTCCCGACACCATCACCTTGGGCATTAGGTTTTTGACATTCAAATTTGGGGGCAATACAAACACTCAAACCATAGGAGAACAGGTAAGGAAGGATCATTTCCTAGTGCGTTCAGAGGAAGCCTGGCTCTGCTGGCACCTTGATTTCAGACTTTTCACCTCAGAACTGTGAGAGAATAAATTTCTGTTGTTTTAAGCCTCGCAGTTTGTGGTAACTTGTCATAGCAGCAATAGGAAACAAATACACCTATCAAAATGCCTTATATACATAACCTCTCCAATAAATGACAAATAAATGAATGAATGAAGGAATGAATAGGCAATTTGGCCCCCACAGAATTTATTTAGTGGAATTAGTTTTTGTTCTGGTGACACAACACAGAAACCCTCTTCAGTAACCTCTACACGGGGCTACTCAAGTCATCCGAAATGTAAGTTTAGCATAACTTCCATTCTCCTCATGCAGTTTTCATAAAATCCAGCAGAGTATTTGGGGGGAAAGGACTTCAAGGGTAATTGCTTCAGGGAACCACGGTCTCCCTGACAAGTGACAAAGAGGGAACAGAGAGGATTAGAACAATTAAACACAGCTTTTTCTGGGAAGATAAAGATGTTTGTTAGCCTAGGAGTTTCGAAAAATACACACACCTAATTTCTAAAGATACTCATCGAGGACCTAGAACTGTGCTGACCAATATAGCAGCCGCATTTTATACAAATAAAAATCCCGTCCCCCAGTTGCACTAGCCACGATTCAAGTGCTCCGTGGTCACATGTGGCCCATGGCTGTCGCACTGGACTTGCAGGTTATATAACATTTTCACCACCACAGAGAGTTCTATTGGACAGGGCTGGTCTGGAATAGGCGATTTGCTGTAGGCCCAGCTCCTTTCAGTGACTACTTGCAAAGCTTATTGAAGAAAATCATATGTGTTGAGAGCCATCCTAGCTGATGACAGATTCGAGAAGAGGATATGAACTGGGGGCGTGTTCATATGTGAAACTAGACTCACTGTCTTGACAGAATTAATTGCTTGGCTCACACAACTGGGCAATTCCGTGGAAAAAGAATCAGCAAGACTGGCTGGTCGACTTAATTGGCTAGTGAGTTATATCACAGATGCGGCCTGGGCCAGTCTGGCAATAAAGGGCTCCTTTTATCAGACTGGGGTGGGCACCTGCAGGTTGACCAGGGCTGTGGTTAATTCTAAGCCCAGGCAAAGCATCACTGACATGCAGAATCATCACCGTGAGCTTAGTGAACACTGTTTCCTAATTATGAAGCCTCCTGCCGCAACAGCCAGAAGAGCATAGCAGACATTCCAGCCAGCCTTGGAGCAAGGGCCCTGGGAGACAGGACTTATAAGGAAATGGCAGATGTAGCCCATCGGCAGCCCCCGCTCGGGTCACCAGCCCGAACGCCTCACTCACAGTGATTAAATCTTCCAGCCTCATGTTGACACCATCCAGCATCTCTCTGCGCTCCGACGCCGGTTCTGGGCAGGGGTATATGGTGGCTCGAAACCTGTGTTTCGTACATTTCACACATGGGTTATTGCCAAGAAGCCTTCTGCACATCCTTTTCCGCTAACCCATCATTTGCCCACTTCAGTTAGATGACCGCCTTCCCCTAGGTTCTACGTATTGTACTCAATGTATTGCACACACCCTGACCTAATCCTGACCCAAATTACTGATGAAAAGAGCCCTTGGGCTTCCCTGGTGGTGCAGTGGTTGGGAGTCCACCTGCCGATGCAGGGGACACGGGTTTGTGCCCCGGTCCAGGAAGATCCCACAAGCCGCGGAGCGGCTGGGCCCGTGAGCCATGGCCGCTGAGCCTGCGCTCCGCAACGGGAGAGGCCACAACACTGAAAGGCCTGCGTACCGCAGCAAAAAAAAAAAAAAAAAAAAAAAATCCCTTAATAGCCACTTACCCATCACAAATCTTCTTGATTTTCTGCCTGAGCTGCTCTCCTTGATAAAATATGATGAATATATTCTTTTTAATTTCTTCTCTCTGGAAAATCAAAACAGTAAAAAATATATTTTTAGAAAATTTTCTAAATTTAAAATTGGAAAACTTAAACTTCTCCCAGTTGATTGAAGTTCGTAACTCATGACGGTTGAGGGCAAGGCCACTGAGGCAGGCTGGGCGGGGGCCCCCAGGAAGGCCGATACAGCTTTAAAGGGACCACCTTGCTGTTTGCTACACTATTTGGATCACAGCTGAGCCTTGTGTTCAGCTCTAAGCCCTGTGCTTAAGAGGTGTGTTAAGAAAACACCCAGAAGAGAGGGATCAGGATGTTGCAAGTCTTAAAATAAAAAGAGCTGACCTAGCTCACTAGAGTTAACTCATACACAACATTGACATTTCAGCGGGGACTGGGTGTTTGATATTTAACAAAGGTAGAGCCAGGTCTAATGTTGGACTCACACCGTTGGACTCACCGTATGCCCGTACGAACCCTGATTAAATGCAATTTAAAAGTCCGAGTTTGACATTTCACAAGCAAGGAAAAAATATGCATTTCACAAGAATATCTGGAAAAGTTCAACTTTTACTGTAAGCAAAGAAATGTGCTGTTTTACTCTATTTAGTTTGGGATGGGGGGGTAAAGGCAAAATGAAACCCATTGTTGGAAAAGCGGTAACAAACCCAACGCACTCATCACACACCACTCAGGTGTCATGTATCTTTGGAATCAGGTACGACCCCACTGAAAAGCCATGTGTCAGGACCTATCAAGGGTCATGAAAATGCTCACACCCTTTAAGCCAGCAATCCTATTTCCTGAATTCATACCATGGAAATACTTCAAAATAAAAATCCACACGCATGAAGATGCTTATCATAGTGTCTATATTCTGGAGAAAAATTGGAAATAAAGTGTCTAATAATAGACGGTTAACATCCCATCAACTCAATGGAAGTATGAGGCACCAACTGAAAATAATAGCAGAACGAATTGTCTCTTTGCTAGTTGCTCATGGGAGCAGGGAAGTATTTCAGGATTTGGGGAACTGACTGCTTTACATTATGTGAAGGAACAAAGGTTCCTTCAACCATGGAGTTCACCCCTAGTCCTTTGCTGAATCTCTCAGATCCTTCTTTGTCTCTGGATCCACCAGAACCAGGAATCCATTCTGATCTCGTGCTATCTGTTCAGTGATCTTCAATGTCATGAGGCTAAAGTCATCTTACTTTGTAAATACTCTCTCTGCCACCATGACTATTCCATGTCAAAACATGATTGTGAAAAGGAATGATTCAATGTCGAATTTTAAAATAATATTTATAAATGGCACATAGTAATACAGGAGGGGATTTATGTTATTTAAATCAAGAGAAGGCCAAAAAAAATGATTTCCATGCTATTACTACAACCATATTAAATTACACCTGCTTACGGCTATGGACTAGACAGAAAGAGGACAAGAAAAAAATAAAGACATTAGAATGGTAATGCGTTTTTTTTTTTTTAAACAAGTGCTTTTTTCTTATTTTAAATTGTATTTGTTTTAACAGTGAAGTTGTTTTCCATGAAATAAAACTTAAAATTACATTTTTTTAGCCTCTACGATAGACAAGATTATGACTCTTTTAGAAATAAGCCCAACTTCTTGGAATTAAAAAGTAAGTGGATTTAAATACTAGCCGGAAGGGTGGAGGAAGCATACCCTACAGACTTAGTAGCGATAACCGTGTGGCACTCAGTGAAGGGGACCCTCGAAATCTTCGTTCGAAGTGTGTGGCCCACTGACTACCAGCAACTAACTGCAAGTTGATTAGAAATTCGGGCTCCCGGGCACCACCACCCACTGAATCAGAATCTGTCGATACACTGAACAAGATCTCATGCTCCCATGAACACTGGAGCTTGGGACGCACTGACCTCAATCAGTTCTCAGTGCTATGTGATGAAGACACAGCTGCCACTCCACATGGCACTACTACAGCTAAGTTTCCAGGAACTGGTACAGCTACGGTGTTTGGAGGAATGAACACTTACGAGGTGTTAACAAGACTCAGTCCTTTCATGGGTATTTTTTAAAAGGAGGGGCTGGGGAGGAAAAAAGAAAAGAAAGGAGAAAAAAAGGAAATAGATGTTAGCTTCATAGAGCTAAAGACTCAGTGTTTGAGAGAATGAAACCCTTCTGGTGGGGCTACAGAAAATTTCAGAAAACATTTCCTGCAGCCTGAGATACCCACTGTAATGGGATCTTCCAGAACTGTGTCCATCTCACTGAACTTTAAGTAGATGTTTCCTCGGCAAATTCGCCACAGCAGCCTCTCAAAGGAAGCCATCCTCTCCCGGTTGACCACACCAGCCGTGAACCTGGGCAGTCAGAAGAGGACATATTACTGAGGCACAGGGAGCGGGGTGCAGAGAAAAGGCCCTGTAGGATAGGAAGATGTGCAATCACAAGGGGGAGGACCACCTTCCCTCTGAGCGGGAGGTAAGGACATAGCCCCGATGGGCAGGGGCCACAAGGCCACTCTGGATCCCAGCCCCAACTTTCCCCAAGTCCCTTTTGACCTCCTGTTTCCTTTGACATGTCCGGGTTTCCTTAGTCATCCCAATACTATACATTCACTTATTTGCAATTAAAAATACGATAGACCATTCATTATAGCATTGTAGCTAAAGGGAACAAGTGTTCAGTCTGCTCAACAATGGTCTCTATGAGTTTATACAAATAAGGTACTAAAACTGAAACATATATATTGATTTCTACACACCTCTGCTTTTACAGTCATCTAGGTATCTAGATAATTTCTGATCCGAACTTTTCAAATGAACTTTAGAATGGTTACTTTCACTGGCCTATTACTTTAAATGTACATTGATTCTGTACTACCTTCTGATCAAATATTTTCAATATATATTTTCCTTGCCATTTCAAATTCAATGTCTAGTGCCTCAAATAGCATGCCCCCAAGTACCTATTGAATAAAAAACTAGAATTCTAAAACTCACTTTCATCAGTTTTACTTGGACACTGAATGAAATCCCACCATTCTGAATCACCACACATTTTGGTGGGTATTATCACATCCTATTACCTCTACTTGTAGAAGACACGATTGCATAACTACCTCATCGCTAATTACACTCAAACTTCACACTCCAAATCTATTTTATTACCAAAACAGTATTTCAGAGACAAGGAAAAAAAAAACATGTATCCCATAATTGTTCCAAAGCCAGGGAACAGTTGTGAAACCCCATCTAAACAATTATCACTACATCCTTCCCATGTGGAGACAATACACACATCGCACTCTTCAGACTCAAGCAGGTCAGTATCACCATAAACAAGGTAACACTACCTGCAACTCCACTAACCTGGTCAGGTTAGACTTGGGTTTATTACTGGTGGAGGCCTTACAGTCGTGTGAAAGAGTCCTCATGCCGGTCGCTATTTGTCCATTCATTCATTCATTCACTCAAACACTCAGGGAAATGTTGCACCGGGCACTGAGCTACGGACCAGGGAGCCATCTACACATAACCTTCAGAGCAGAGAGTTTCACTAACCCCAGCTTTCCACTCATGTATGCAGGTGTAGGTCTTAACTCCAGGAGACCAGAAGTGTCTTCCATAAAGAAATCATCAGCTAAATTGGTTTCCGTCTGAAAGTCAAAGAATCACTATTTTCATTTAAATGTATTTAGACTACCTTAAAACCACACCTCATAGTTTTGTCTGCTTTTAATGATATTTCAATTTTCCACAAATAGTTAGAATTCAAAAGGTAGACTGCTTAGACCTGATCTATTTTTCTGTTTTAAATAAAGATTTATGTGTGTGTCAAAAAAAAAAAAGGTAGAGTGCCCCTTGACAGATCAAAAAGCTTCCGCAGTCTCTTCCTACCAAAATCCCAAACCTGCTCAAACTAACTGGTGCTTTTTTCTGACTTCCACTTCCGTCTGGGCCATTTGGGGTACATACTTTTTAGTGAGCACCTTAATATTTTTGCATTCATTTCAACCAGTACCACATGCCACCCTAACCCTCCCCCTCCCCCTCGGCCCAGCCATGTGACAGAAACAGCGCAATTTATTCATATTCCAAACCAGCCAGTTGTCGATATGGAAATTTGAGGTTCTGGGGGAAAAGGCCCTTGAATAAATAGTCCCCAAATTACAACCTCAAAGAAGTCCTGGGTTTTCTTCAGGAGATGTTTGAATTCAGTCAGTTCTAGGAAGCTTTTCTTCAAAGCCTGATAGTTCTCATTGGCTTCCTGTAACTCTCCTTCCAGTTTTTCTAGAGCAGTCTATGCAGGAGGGAAAAGAAAGTAAGCCGGGCAGAAAGCACTATGACATTTACTGTACATTAACCGCAACGGATAACTAAATATCAAAGCGGTATTCAGTGCATCACAAGGTAGCTTGAAGTTGAGAGGCCTGTTCAGTCAAACTCAGCAAGATTGTAGAGCTGTAAGTAAAGCCACTCACAGGAGTTCTCGCATCAAATGGGGAGGATCAGAAAACAATCTGGGGGAAGGGACGTTAGCTGCATGAGGAAGTGAAGGCATTTCAGCATCTCTTCCCCCATTTTAAACACTGAATGGGGAAGCTGGAGTAAATTTACATGTTGAGAATTCCTTCTGCCCCAAACACGTTGTAGTGATAAAATACAAAATATATTTTCTCATAAGATATAAAAAGAGAAACCACCAGTTCTGAGTTGGGGGGGCCTGGAGAACCAGGTACAAGCAAGTGAAAAAGGCAACACAGAGAAGGGTGAGCACAGAAGGCAAGATGACAAAAACGAAGAAGAAACCAATCTCCCTTTCAAGTGAGGCTACAAAAAGAATATGGCTCATGAAGAAATCTAATGATAGGAAAAGCCACCAACAAAATCAACAATCAGAACACAAAATCGCAGTGGGTGGAATTATTTTTACAGAATAGTCTGAAAGAGTTTTGAATGTTCGAAGAGATAAACAAAAGTATTACTTCCACTAAAAAGTAAAACAAGAAATCTCTAAACAAACATGTCATAAAATGAAAGAACAGGAAGTATTAAAAAAGAACTACTTAGAAATCTTAAAAATGTAACATACAGCTACTGAAATTCAAAATCCAATAGGTGAGTAGGGACTTCCCTGGTGGTGTAGTGGTTAAGACTCCGCACTCCCAATGCAGGGGGCCTGGGTTCGATCCCTGGTCAGGGAACTAGATCCCACATGCATGCCACAACTAAGAGTTCGCATGCCACAACTAAGGAGCCCTTGAGCCGCAACCAAGACCCAGTGCAACCAAATAAATAAATATTAAAAAAAAAAATCCAACAGGTGAGGATCAACTCTCTACTGGACACAATTTGAGATTTAGCAAATAATGTTAAATATGAAAGCTCATTTCTCATTCATCCAATATCCATCAACAATAGAATGGATAAAGTGTGGTACATTAAATAAAAGAAACACTACCCAGCAGTGACAATGAATTAATTTCAGAAACATGAAAAATACAAAATTCAGGTAGTGATTATCTCCAAGGGAGGAGGGGAGGGGTGAGATGAGGGGCACACAGAGGGCTTTAAGAGCATCACTGCAGTCACCTTTCATCTTATACAGGGTGGTGACACTTGATATTTGCTATATCATTATTCTTTGTACCATACATGTATTTTCTAAAAATCCTAATACACCAATTATTTAATAAAAACAATTACAAATAAATCCATACTTAAACACATAGTAGTGAAACTATAGAACAAAGACAAAACCTTAAAGGCCATTGAGGGAAAAAACATATAATCCACAAAGGAAGGAGCATTGAACCAGCAGCAGATTTTATGGGAAAAATTTACTAAGCGTGTATCTCCAGATGTTAAGCTTAACTATAATCTACAGCTTTCAACCCAAGAGAAGGGTGAAAAGGGTTGAAGGGTATTACAGAAAGGCAGGAAAGGGGAGGAAAAAAACAAAGGCATGGTATAACAAAGAGTCAGTAACTCAGTAATCACAATAAATGAAAATGGATTAAGGTCACCTATTAAAAGACTGACAGTATCATTGCTGATGTTTTAAAAATCCATCTAAGAGACACCCTTACCAAAGAAATTAAACAAACAAAAAATAAAAAGATATCCATGCAAATGTTCCTATCTTCTAAAAAAAGCACCTTAATATCAGACAAAATTGAATATTTAACATTTTTCAAACATACTTTAGTAGGGAGACTACATAATGAACCCACACACTGGTCACCCAGCTTCAATTGCATCCCATTCCTTCCCCTCTCAAAAACAATCACTACCTTGAATTTTGAACACTGACTATAGGTGGCACAAGTTGGGGAAAAAAATGAAATCCTCATTTCTTTTCTTTTTTTTTTTATAAATTTATTTATTTATTTATTTTTGGCTGCATTGCGTCTTCGTTACTGCACGCAGGCTTCAGTAGTTGTGGCACGCGGGCTCAGCAGTTGTGGCTCACGGGCTCCAGAGCGCAGGCTCAGTAGTTGTGGCTCATGGGCCCAGTTGCTCCATGGCATGTGGGATCCTCCCGGACCAGGGTTTGAACCCATGTCCCCCGCATTGGCTGGCGGACTTCTCAACCACTGTGCCACCAGGGAAGCCCCAAAATCCTCATTTCTTAACCATCTGCTCTATCCATTTAATGATTCCATTAAAAGTAATGCTGCCATTAAAAATATTTTGGAGGACTATGCAGTATCTAAGAAGTGGTTTACAACATGATGGTAAATGGAAAAGTAGAAAACTATAATGTATATTATGGATACGTAGTTATAAAAAATACAGCTGGCAAGAATAAAAACAGAAAAATTAAGTCAGTTTATGCTGAGATGGTAGATTTGTGGGTAGATTTTATTTCCTGAATTATTATTCCCTCTAGGATTGCTATGAAAGCCTCTTTAGAAATTCTGCAAGGCAAGGGCCCAAGCCACTGTGTACTACTGCCAGGATTCTCCTTTCTAGGAATGTGGGAGGAACACTCAAGTCCCTGCCAGATCAGCTGAATCAACTAACCAATCCCCGTGATCAATGGTAAGACAGATATTACTCTCATAAGCACATGTTGTTTTAATTTCATCTTTACAATAAATAGTATCTAGAAGGAAAATACTGAGCAAAGACTGTTGGCACGCATCTGACTGCCCCTTATCTAACTGGTTATTATTACAAATGTGTACAGTTTCAAACCAACCAGTCAGTCCATAACAAACTCACTGGGATGAAGTGATTTTTTAAGCTCCTGTCTAAAACATACAACCAATGTCAATTTGGAAATAAAAATACTTGTTACCTGTTTAACAAAAGCAAGAGCCTCCATGCGTGTCAAGTTTCAATGTAATAATAAAGAATATCTGCAATTATTTGAAAAGGCTGTTAAAATTCTCCTCCCTTTTCCAACTACCTATTGTGCAAGGCTGAACTCTCTTTACATTCTTCAATGAGAATAACATATCCCAACAGATTCAAAGTAGAACAGACATGAGAAGTCAGTCTTCTATTAAGCCATGCATTTAAGAAATTTGCAAACAACCTCACTCTTTTCACTGAAGTTTTTGTTTTGGAAAATACAATTATTTTTCGTTAAAAAAATATTAACATGTAATGAGATATTGTTATTTTTAAATGAGTTACAGTAAGTCACCTACTTACCAATGAGTTCTGTTCCAAGAGCGCGTTTGTAAGTCCAATTTGTTTGTAAGTCCAACAAAATTAACCTAGGTACTCAACTAACAACACAATCGGCTATGTAGTACTGTACTGTAATAGGTTTATAATACTTTTCACACAAATAATACATGAAAAACAAACACAAAAAAAATTCTTAACCTTACAGTACAGTACTTTGAAAGGTACAACTGTACAGTACAACAGCTGGCATACAGAGGCAGGCATCGAGTGAACAGGCAAGAAGAGTTACTGACTGGAGGAGGGAGAGGAGGTGGGAGATGGTAGAGCTGAAGGACTGTCAGCAACAGGAGACGGAGGGCGAGCTGCCATTTCACTCACGCCTGACACTGATGGCACAGGTTCTGGTTCTTTGCTGGAACCAGATGCACGTTCGCATCTTTGAAAGTTTGCAACTTGAAGGTTCGTATGTAGGGGACCCACTGTAATAACTATTTTGCTTTTTTTCAGTTTTAGTTCCTAATGCAGTAATATCAGTAAATATAACGCTCATAAATAAATCTCTTTGGGATCCTCAATATCGTATAAGAGTATACAATCAAGGGACCTGCCCGAGGACAGTGGAGGACTTGAGAGGTAGGACAGGGCTGAGGAGAGCGGGCTTTGCTGCCAGGATGGGCCTGACATAGGCAAGAAGGGAATCATCGTACATTCTCAAGCAGGGAAGTGACAAGATAGAGCGACACCATGACAAAAATTAGGCTGGCGGTAGGGAGGCAGAATGGACTGGAATGAAAAGAGGATGAAAAAGATTATACATATGGACAACTGAGCCACTTTGCTGAACGCCAGAAACTAATACAACACTGTTAAAAAAAAAAAAAGAATGAAATAGTTAAGAAGAAAGTTGGAAAACTAGGAGAACTTCTGCCAAAACTCAGAAATAAGATTAGAGTGACTTTGCAGCAACATGGATGGACCTAGAGATTATCATACTAAGTGAAGTGAGTCAGGCAGAGAAAGACAAATATGATATCACTTATATGCAGAATCTAAAAAAAGTTACAAATGAACTTATTTACGCACACAGGCATAGAAAACAAATTTAAGGTTACCAAAGGGGAAGGGGAGGAGGGATAAATTAGGAATTTGAGATTAACAGATACACACTACCATATATGAAATAGATAAACAACAAAGTCGTATTACATAGCACAGGGAACAATGTCTTCTAATAACCTATTATGGAAAAGAACCTGAAAAAGAACATATATGTGTATATGTATAACTGACTCACTTTGCTGTACACCAGAAACTAACACAACATTGTAAATCAACCATACAGTCAATTAAAAAAAAAAGATTATGGTAAAAACATGAGCCATTAAGATATCTCACAGTCCGCAAGATCAGCTCTAGGTGTTTAGGAAGGTAAGGGGGATAACGGCCGGGGTGGGGAGCTGTTAATTAACAGGGCTGGTATTAGAAGACTAGTGATAAGACTGAAACTGGACATGACTTTATGGAAATCCGACTCATATGGATTAAAAACGTTCTCCCCAAACATCCAGATTTTAATAAGACAAGATCCAAAATATTTCCTAGGGGAGTTGCCAGCCTCATATTTCTGTTAGAGGATCTAGATTTATACTACTGATGGCTCCAACAATGTCAAGAATTTTAAGTTATCTTAAAAGAAAACAAAAAACAAACGAGAAAACCCAG